CTGGAGTTTTTGGGAACACTGGAAGGTTTGGGAACGCTGGAGTTTTTGGGAACACTGGAGGGTTTGGGAACGCTGGAAGGTTTGGGAATGCTGGAGTTTTTGGGAACACTGGAGTTTTTGGGAACGCTGGAGTTTTTGGGAACACTGGAAGGTTTGGGAACGCTGGAGTTTTTGGGAACATCCAGGCGCTGTTCCCGCAGATCCATGCGCTGATCACGGGCCCCTTTGACACCCCCTACGAGGGCGGCTTCTTCCTGTTCCTGTTCCGCTGCCCCCCGGATTATCCCATCCACCCGCCCCGCGTCAAGCTGATGACCACGGGCAACAACACCGTCAGGTTCAACCCCAACTTCTACCGCAACGGCAAGGTCTGCCTCAGCATCCTCGGGTAAGCCGGGCCTAGGGGCTGCCTCAGCATCCTCGGGTAAGCCAGGCCTAGGGGCTGCCTCAGCATCCTCGGGTAAGCCGGGCCTAGGGGCTGCCTCAGCATCCTCGGGTAAGCCAGGCCTAGGGGCTGCCTCAGCATCCTCGGGGAAGCTGAGCTTAGGGGCTGCCTGGGATGAGCCAGTCTTGGGGTTAGGCTGGGGCCAGGTGGGGTCAGGCTCTGCTCCCAGGTGAGCACAGACAGGACAGGACAGGAGGACAGGACAGAAGGACAGGACAGGACAGGAGGACAGAAGGACAGGACACGCTTTAGGCTGTGCCAGGGGAAGTTCAGGCCCAGCTCTGCTCCCCCAGGTTTCTGGGCTCTGCCACAAGGGGTTCGCTGCTTTAATTAATGAATTCGTTAATTAACGGCTGTCTCTGCTGCCCCAGCACGTGGACAGGCCCAGCCTGGAGCCCGGCCCAGAGCATCTCCTCGGTGCTGATCTCCATCCAGTCCCTGATGACCGAGAACCCGTACCACAACGAGCCCGGCTTCGAGCAGGTGAGAGCTGGGAGCCGGGATCTGAGCCTGGGATTGGGATCTCAGCCTGGGATTAATTTGGATCTGAGTCTGGAACTGGGATCTCAGCCTGGGATTGGGATCTGAGCCTGGGATTAATTTGGATCCAAGTCTAGAACCGGGATCTGAGTCTGGAACCGGGATCTGAGTCTGGGATTGGGGGGTTCAGAGAGAGCTGGGATTGGGGTTGTGAGGGACAGGATAACGGGGATTGGGGT